TATGTAGATACATATTTTCTATAAAATGATTGACATAAGATTATACCACCGCCGCACCAGAACAGTAATTTTGAACCAGTCACTGCATTGCGGGATTCAGAACAGGGATTTTCTACCGAGAACTCAGCGCTGGTAGATTTTAGTTTCGGACTGTAGGACCTATTTCTTCAGATAACTACCAACGTTTAGGGTTTACATTTAAGGAGTGGATTAAAGTAACTCTGACACTTCACAGTAAAAAAAAAATCAAACAACTAACTGCTGCATTTATGAAACTAATGTATACCCCGCGCCAATATAAACTAAAAACTAAGAGAGCTACAAAGTACACCCAAAAAAGTGATACTCTACATCAGTGGTTCTCAACCTGTGTAACCTCAGGACCCATATTTATCCTTGGTGATCAAGTCATGATCCAAGTCGTACCGCACTGGAATGCACAGCTTTGTGGTACTGTGCGGTTTGGTGCGGGCAATCGAACTGGGTGGGAGGTGGTTTGGGGTGCCATTCAAATGAGCGGCAACGCAACGCATCTCCCATACCATAATGCACGGTAGGTGCAATTGCGTGGTACAGTGCATTAATTACTCTGTACAGCTCCCTTGTGTGCCCTGTAGAGGTGCCTGGAGTCGGAATGTGACGTCACTCCAGTCCAGGCACCTCTACAGGGCACACGAGGGAGCTGTAAGCAATGCACGTATGGATGGAGCTCCCTTGCGGCCATACCCCTAGTCCCCTAGTTTTGAATGGCTGCAAATAAGGATGCACTGATACCAATACTTGTATCGGTGCCGATGCCAAGTATTTGACCGAGTACTCATACTCACCCAAATGCTCCGATACCTAGCCCAATACTTGAGCTTCCGGTATCAGGAAGCTGGGCAGCGAGTCATTACACACCGCCTGGCTTTCTTCATGGGACTTCCAATATCAGTATTCGGTATCGGCGAGTACCGGAAAAAAAAATTGGTACTCTTACTCAATAGCGAAAAACCGGTATCAGTGCATCCCTAGCTGCAAACAGTGTAACAAATTAATTATTTGTGTAAAGTCAAAAGAGAAATGAAGATCCAGTGTGTGAAATGATTATAGTGCTCAAGGTAAGGAATACTACATCCCAGGAGACATAACACAACTATCTCAGTGTCTTTAGTGTTAACCCTTTTCAGTGATGCTCTCAACTTCTCCTGCGACCTAAAAGGGCTCAACGCTGATCCCTTTGTGGGTGGGTCACCCCTTTCTTTGCTGTTGACAACGATTGCGCCTTCGATGGTGGTACAACTCTGATGTCGTTTACCACTATGGCTCCTATTTGAAGCTACGTGTATGGGCTATACAGCTCAAATCCCTGCCTAATCAGAGCAGCACAGGATTTGGCTGAAGCGACAGGAACTAGAGGCTTCTGCAGGCCTGTGCATGTGCCAGCATTTATACCTGTTAACAGCTTTTTTTTAAGCTGCAGTTCAGGCAACAGTAACCTACTAGTATCATGTCCGCCTCCCCTCTTTGCCAGATAGCAAGGTTTAATAGTTTATTTAGTCTAGAGGGTGTGTAGTCTAGGGGCACCCTGTACTGTAATGTCTGCTATACATCTTTGGTGTTACTTTGCCTCTTAAGAAGGTAGTACAAGATTTCACTAATTACATCTAGGTATTGTACTATCTTCTTATTCCAAGCAAATAACTGTATACATGTGTTTGTATGTGTGTACATGATTACTGTTTTCTTTATGCCTAAATTCCAGACAAAATATTTTTTTGTTTAGTTTTGAATAGAGCTTTGAAGAATGAGGCCACATTTACACCTATAGTTTAGGTGTGGTTAGGGATTCCTGCATCAGGAACTTGTGATTTCCTGCAACTAGAATCCCATATCTGCCATTTACAAGCGGCAGCTGTCACCAATTCAAGTTAATGCTTGGGTGACATCGGCTACATTTGTAATACATAATATGTAATATGATTACATGCGGTTAGGATTAGATCACTATCCCTGGACGCACAATTGATGTGTCCAGGGATAGTAATTGATTCCTAATCACATGTAATCATATCAAATATGATCACATGCGAGGTGCCAGCATTCTACTGCTTTCAAATACAAGTGGCGGCTGTCACCCATTCAAGTTAATAATCTGTATTTCTCCTTGCAAAACAATTTTTGCTGTAACATGAGCCATCTCAACTCTCATAGCCTAGGTCTCCCCTCCTCTAGTCTCTTTTTACACAATAGTGACCAGTGCTGTCCCTAGTGAATCAATAAACTGCATTCTCAAAATTATCTGTCGTGACCACTAAAATGACAGGTACACTTTTGAAGATGACGAAAACTCATAGCTATGTTTTTAAAAGAGCCTTTCTCAACCTCTTTACAACAAATGTATTTTCCATAGATATCATGAAATCAAAAAAATAATAATGTTTAGGAAATAAATTCAGTTAAAACTGAAGTGTTTCCTTACACTAGCGATCAGTAGGAAAATTCCTCCTTATTGTCGGTCAGTGTAGTGATCCCTTACCTTGGTGGTCAGCGTAGTACTCCTTACATTGGTGGTCAGCGTAGTAATCTGTTACATCTGTGGTCAGTGAAGTGCTACTGTACATTGCCCGTCAGTGTAATGCTCCCTTACCATGGTGGCCATTGTAATGCTCCCTTACATTGGTGGTCGGTGTAGTGATCCCTTACATTGGTGGTCAGGGTAGTGATCCCTTACATTGGTGGTCGGTGTAGTGATCCCTTACATTGGTGGTCAGGGTAGTGATCCCTTACATTGGTGGTCGGTGCAGGGATCCCTTACATTGGTGGTCGGTGTAGTGATCCCTTGCATTGGTGGTCAGTGTAGTGATCCCTTGCATTGGTGGTCGGTGTAGTGATCCCTTGCATTGGTGGTCAGGGTAGTGATCCCTTACATTGATGGTCGGTGTAGTGATCCCTTACATTGGTGGTCAGGTTAGTGATCCCTTACATTGGTGGTCAGGGTAGTGATCCCTTACATTGGTGGTCAGTGTGGTGATCCCTTACATCGCTGGTCAGTGTAATGCTCCTTTACTGTGGTGGCCAATGTACTGCTTCCTTACATTGGTGGCCAATGTACTGCTTCCTTACATTGTTGGTCAGTGTAGTGATCCCTTACATTGGTGGTCAGTGTAGTGATCCCTTACATTGGTGGTCAGTGTAGTGATCCCTTACATAGGTGGTCAGTGTAGTGTTCCCTTAGATTGGTGGTCAGTGTAATGCTCTCTTACAATGGTGGTCAGGGTAGTGATTCCTTACATTAGCAATCAGTGTAGTGTTCGCTTACATTGTTACATCGGCAATCATTGTAGTTCTCCCTTACATTGGTGATCAGTGTAGTGCTTACTTACATTGGTGTTCACCGTAATACTCCTTAACATGGGTAATGCTCTCTTGCATTGGTGGTCAGAGTAGTGCTCTCTTACATTGGTGATCAGTGTAGTGCTCTCTTACATTGTTGGTCAGTGTAGTGCTCCCTTACATTAGAGGATTAGAGGTCACTGTGATACTCCCTTACATTGGTAGTCAGTGTGGTGCTCTCAGACATTTGTTGTCACTGTGATGCTCCCTTACATATTAGGCCAGTGTAGTATTCCCCAACATTACTGGTTACTGTAGTACTCCCTTACATTGGTAGCCAGTGTAGTGTATCCTTATATTGTTGGTTGTGTAGTGCTCCCTTACCTTGGTTGTGCAGTTAGTTAGTGTACTGGGTTATCTGTGTGTTATTGTTGGGTTATGTTTAAGTATGTTATACTGGGTAACCTGTTTTTTTAAAAGACTGTCAGCACCACCACCCTTGTTAGCTCTCTGTGTACTCCCATTGAACTTGTTACAGTCAGTTTGTTCATTTGTTTTATTGTGTTAATGATGGGATTAACATAGCTGACTCTAGGTTTAGATGAGTAGATTAACCTACACTAGAGAATCAGGAGATAATCACATCCTATTTGTTTTCCCTCTCCCTATTCTTTCATTGAGGCAGCGGGATAGGGATTGTTTGCTTGATGTTTTGATTGCGTTATGGGTTTTTTTTTTTTACTTTCAATAGTTCTTTATTGAAGTCAAGTGAAGCATACATAACAAAATGCATATAACATAACCATCTTAACATCCAGGATACAATATGCTTTGCAATATAATTTCCATTTATAGGGAAGTTAGGAAGGGAGGATGAAAAAACAAGTGGAAAGAGAGGAGGGGAGGAATGAGTGAAGACAAGGTATGGACCAGTAAGATTGGGAATATTGACAGAGCTAAGGAAAGTGTTAATTTGAGTGGCAGTGGGTTGGTGAGTAGTGGGGTCATCTTGGAGGTTATACAGCGAGTGGTAGTATTGTTTAAAGATGTCAGTCATCTGTTGAGGGTGGGTGGTTTTGGTCACTGTGACCGGATCAGTGAGGTGAGAGAGCCTGGAATTATGTGATCGGGCATTGAGCCTCTTAGCTAGAAAAGAACCTGCTTTATTGTCAAGGGCATAGGAGTCAGCTTTAATGCGTTTTAAGGAGTACTCATATTTATGGAGGAGGAGTAGTCTCAGTTTCTGTCTTAAATCCAGTAGTGTAGTGGATAGGCTATGAGAAGGAGATTGTTTATTAAGCTCATCTAAACTAGTAATTGAAAGCAGTAGTTGTGCGATTTGGGTAGAGCGTTTAAAAAAAAAATAGCAACTTAGTTTGATCATAACCCCTCTAATATACGCTTTATGTGCATTCCATAATGTGTAACGGTCAGTGTCGGGAAGATCATTAAGAGCGAAATAATCTTTTTGTGCATCTAAAATCTGTTGGGAGATTTCCGGATGAGATAGGAGGAAGGTATTGGTTCTCAAAACAAAAGTAGAGCTGGGTTGGAGATGGTCCTCGACACTGAGCATTATCGGAGCATGATCAGACCAAGAGATAGTTTCAATAGTGGAGGAGACCAATGATTGAAGCGAAGTGGTGTCTGTTAAAAACATATCTATCCTTGAATAAGAGTGATGAGCATGGGAGAAAAAGGTGTAGTCCCTTTCGCTACCATGTTGACATCTCCATATGTCGAGCAGGCCATGGCGGTGGAAAAGCTTACCTAGGGAGCAATGAGAGCGGCTATTCACTGCGGTCGAGTCCAGAGCTTTATGTTTTTAGACCACCAGAACTATATAAATACTGTGCTGGTTTTCAATAAAGCAGAGTTTGTTTCACCCTACAATTGGTTTCGGCTAGTGACTGGGTGGACTGGGAGCTAATGATCATCAGGTTGCAATATCTCTTGAGGAAGGAAGACTACAGCGGCGGACATACTCATCCTGAGTACTGGAGTCCGTCACAGTGCTCCCTTACATAGTTGGTCAGTGTAGTGCTCACTTACATTGTTGGTCAGTGTAGTGTTCCCTTACATTGCTGTGCATTGCTTTTTTCAATAAAAGTTTTATGGTGAAATAGAGCAGTGTGTCATCGACCAAATTGGAAACAAATGCTCACTGCTTAAGAAACTTATCAATTTCTGGAGGAATCTCTGTTTGAGAAAGGCTGTTTTAAATTATACACTGTATTTGTGTTTAATTCTCCAGACCGAATGCCAGCAAAAAGAACAGTTGTTTATCTGAGTATTTTTCTTACACATGTGGAAGCGAAGCAGCATTTGGCAGCATTATTACGCCAGTACGCTCTAGACAGATGGATCATTGAATCCTTGTATAATAACATTTCATGTTTTCCTGCACTCTTCCCCGAGGAATTGTTATCTTGACTGAAGAACTGCTTACACAAACACAATGGCTGCATGAGATTTATGTCTGCACCGTTTTCTTTCTTACCTACGTGCTCCAACCTGTACAGTGGCAGTACATAAATCCCCCTATTTTCTACATATTTTAGCTAATTTATTGCACACTGACATCTTTTACTTATTAAGAACACAGTGTACAGTCTAAGAATTGTTTCACTTTATCTCTTTAAAATATTGTGTCTAATTAATGAATTCAATTTCCTGATCCTCTTTTCCCTACTCCTCCTACTGTAATGCTGGCCCTACAGGCTTCAATTTTTCATCCGATCGTTTCATTGAATAAATGCTGAAATTAATTGTACACTTCATTGTAGACTTACCTACATTATTATCATTGATCAGACACATTGGTTTACTCTCTAGACAGACTGACTCACCAGGCTATCTCTGCCCTGGTGCCTCAGGAAACCAACTTTGGATATGGGTAGGAAAGATTTTAGCTTGGATATGTCCCAGCTCTGTCTGCCATTTATTTTTCTGGGAGTAGACAGTTGGCAGGCAGACTTCTTTAGCAGGCAGCGTTTAGTTCCAAGGGAATTGTCCTTACACCCAGAAGTCTTTCAGGACCTGGACATGGACCTTTCTGGCATCCAGGTTCAACAACAAACTGGACAGGCTTGTCTTCAGGTGTAGAGATCCTCTGGCATACAGTTCCTCTCTAAATCTCCTTCCCTGTCTTCTCTGCCGGATTAAGCTTTAGGACATTCCATAGATCCTGATATCTGCAAACTGGCTCAGATGGATTTGGTACTCCAACCTGCTCAAACATCTGGCAGGCACCCTGAAGGCTCTTCAGATCATCCTGAATCAGCATTTGGCCTTGAGTACTGTTGTGGAATATAAGTATTTAGGTACAGTTACCTGTCCTCTGTTAGGTAGTGAGGCCAAATTTACATTTTTTATATGCTGAATAAGCTGTTCTGATTTATTAAAGTGACACTAAACTCAGGAGTTAAATCTTAAAAATGCAATCAAGTACCCTAAATCTTAACAAAAATGTAACTTATTTGTGTATTTCGTTCCATGGTCCTTGTGTGTGTGTTGTAAAAAAAACACAGTTCTAAGCTTGCTCATGTGATAGAGTATAACTTCAATAGAAATTAGTAAACTAAATGTGAGATTGTAGTTCATCCCGGGAGTGAGCTTGGAGTGGTGGCTACTTTACAACACACACAACGACCATGGGGAACAAAAGTAGCCATTTTGTGTTGAAAAAAATCCTTTATAGGGGCCCTTTCTTTGTCATCCATGATCTCAATGGAAAAGTCCACACAAAACAGATTAAACAATTGTGGGTGAATTCCTGCTGGTTCCGTTGCTTTCTGTCTCCCAACTAACCCCCCACCACTTATTCTAACTTTTCTACCCTCCTTCTGGACTATATCCGGTGGCGGCTGTCTAACTAGGGCCTCACGCTCACAGGGGCCTTGCAGCTGCCTAACTTGCCTCTACAGATTCACCTTATCTGACAGCGGATCCAGGGATGGGGCTATGCCGTCAGCCCTCCCCCCAAGATAATTGCTGCTCCCTCTCACTGCCCAGGACTGACCATTCAGACACTACCAGGAGCCCTGTCATTCCGCTGCTTGCAACTCCCCACCTCCAAAGCCGCAGTCCACGCAGAGATAGAGGAGAGAGCCCGCCCGGGGTGATGTGACATGAGGCTCCCACACTCATGCCACCACCTGTGCAGCAGTCAGCGTTGGCGCGGGCTTGGAGGGGAGCAAGGGAGAGCTGGCACCGGAGGGAGAAAAAGGTATGGGTCTGAATACTGTATACTGAAAGCAGTTACTGTTTGCCTAGGAGGTAGCCGCTTATAACTTTTAACTACTGGCTCTTATGAATGCTGAGGGTTTTGTGGACTACTGAACTGGCAAAGTGGATGTGCTGCTGTGAATTATGGTTGTGAGCAAACTGTTTACCTGGGTCTTATGAGACATAATGTGACCCCCAAGCCTTATATCCCCACCAACAGAAGCATAATAGCTATAAACATTCTATGATAAAAACTCCGCCACCACAAGCACATTTATTCTCAGAGCATAATATACCATCAGCATACTGCGTTACTTCCTTGTGACCTCTGCACCCTGTGCGTTACTTCCTTATGAACTCTGCATTCTGTGTGTTACTTCCTTCTGACCGCTGCACTATGTGCATTACTTCCTTCTGAAATCTGCATTCTCCATGTTACTTCCTTCTGTGAGTGGGGGCCTCACGTTTGAGTTTCGCCTAAAGCCTCACAAAGTCTAGAGCCACCTCTGACTGTAACATATAGTTGATTCTATGCTCTGCATATATTTTCAGAGGATTCTAGAAATAGGAAGACACCTCTGCTCACTGATTACTTGTGGGTGGACAGTACAATGCTAAAATTACCTGGCACACTGTCCTCTTAGTCAGTAAGGAGGACCTAACTAATCTGTTCCTAATATCAAATAAAATTAGAGGTCTCAGCTGCATACATTTCCAAGTATATATGGAAGATTCCTGTGATGTTAAGGATCCTCTGTATTGTGCAATCCTTTTTAATCCATGAGTGCACTGACAGTGGAACATATATTATAGCAATAAATTGTGAGTAGCCCTCCCTGGAGGAGGCCACCCCTTACTCCCTATGGTACGTACATATGAGAATTGCAGACTTGCAAAAGCCAGCTGAGAACTTCTTATGTGCATGCGTCAAATACAATAATCCACTTCTGGTTGGACTCAGGCACTATGACATTTAGAGGTAAACTGTTGTATTCTTTTTTTCTTGCAGGCTGTTGATTTCTACTGCGATTAAAAGGACGAGGTAGTGTGAGAAACCCAGCGAGACGCTTCTGAGGGATTTTCGGCAGATGTGTTTGAAGATTCTATTGCATGCATTTAGAGGAGAACTAACTATCTTTCCTTCCTGCTTCACTTGGGTTTAAATTTTTATACTGGTTAGCAGCTTTCATAGAGACATCCATTAGCCTACCGGAGAACAAGATCCAAAAACAGAAGTCAGGTTAGAAAATAATTAGTTCTAGTCAAAGCCATCTTTTTTGACTGAGGATTAACCTCTGACCACTCTGATACATGGTGCCTAATGCAATCATTTTTAATGTCAGTTGAAGAGATGGGGGCTTTTCCAAATCAATCTGTCTCTGATGGCAGCCTACATGTTTGTCTTGCCACAGGTTTCCTTTAAAGGACTCATCCCCATCTCAGTTCTTTGTTTTTATTTTTTATAAATCAACATGTTATGAAAAGGCCCCAAAGTTCTAATGTTTCCAAAAGTATTCGGAAGCTTCCAAGGGATTATAAGTGAAGTGTCTACATGCTCAACCTTTATGCTACAGTATTATAGACAGCCAGCAGTGGAGTTAGTTTGAATACATTTTAGCTCCAATGGACTTATTAAGGTTTGGTCATCCCATTGGGTGAGATGTCAATGTTATAACTGTGCCTGTATTCCTCACATACAATGATCCAAATACTTTCATCTGTTTATTTCTTCTGCTTGGCCTGCTCTGTATGTCAGGCAGAATATTTATCTGTACCAGTGACATGCGGTACCTTCTGTGCTGGGTAAGACATTCCCCTGCCTGCCCCAGCCCACAGATGCCCCACCCCCAGAATGACCCATCCCAGCCCACCGACGCCCGCCCCCCAACCTGGTCACCAAACTGTGTGGAGCAGGGTGGGAGGAGGAAGGGAGGTGACAGGAAGGAGCTTCCCTGTCCCTCACTTGCTCGTCACTGGTGAGGCATCCAGATCGATGTCCTCAGTGTTTTTTTTTTGTTTTTTTTTATTGGACAGCTTGGACCAATGGCGCTCTGCCATTGGTTCAAACCATCCACAGAGCTCAAGCATCTAACAGAGTAGAGGGTGTTGCAGCTCTTGCCCCACTATGTTAGGTTACACAAGCAGTATGGAAAGCCCACTGCTGTGTAACCTAACTTAGTTGTCAAAAGACAGATGCAGTGCCGCCTGTAATTAACAGGCAGCGCTCCGTCCATGACAGGTTACACAGCGGGGAGGCTTTCCCTGCTATGTAACCTGTTAGAAGCCGCTCTGAATGGAGAAAAGGCTGTCAGCTTCAGACTTGAAGCTGATAGCTTTTTCCTCCATAATACCAGGTGAGGCTCTGCCTCACCTGCCTCCCCTGACCGTCCATCCCTGCTCTGTACAGACCAATGTGGTAGGGAGGCTGAATAAAAAATTGCTTGATGTAGGACCTCGCTAAGGCACAGGCGCCATTTACAAACCTACATCACCTTTCACTGGTCATGTAAAACATTGGGTGAAATTAATTTGGGGAATGGTGCCTTTGGAAACAAATGGGGACAACTTTTAATTGTACTCAGTAAACATTTACAAGCAACAATTCGTTTTTTTACAATTTATCGATCTATGGTATATCTCTTATAGTGTGTCTTAAATACTTGGCCTGCTTTTTATATTCCTATATAGGTGTTGTGATGGTTGTTATTACTGTTTTTTGTATGCATGTTAAAAATAAATATTTCACATAAAATGTTATGATAATATTATCATGTTATGTTTTTTTTTTTTAATATCCAATTTTCTACACTCACCATAGAAAACAATGAGCTTAGTGAAAAGATGCTTGTATACAGATACATCAATGTTTGACTGTTCCAGTGACTTATTACAGGCCTGAACATGGAAAATTGAAAGAACCAGGAGACAAACACATATATATCAGGAGAATATACTCAGATATACAGAAGGAAGAGCATTTAGACCCCATTCACACTGAGCAACATGGAGAATTGCAAATTTTTCCGCGCATTTCGTGCTGAGCGGCATTGAGCTACATTGCGCGATATTGAGCGACTTTTGGGAGGGACTTCATCGCCGCTACATTGGGCTGTAACCAATCAACAGCGGTCTTGATGTGACATCATTAAATCTATTGTGGCCAAATCGCGTGACATCCGCCAAAAAATAGGTCATGTTCAAGCTACAAGCTTGAGCGACGTGCTACAGGCGACATTGAGCTGTGAGATGTTAACAGCTCCATTGAAATGCATTGTACAAGCTACATTAAGCGACATTGCACAGAAATATGCACGATTTTGGAAATCGCGCGACAAACCGCTCAGTGTGAACAGGGTCTTACACAGGCCATTTTGTAATTGCATGTTATTAAAATTAACTTTCCATTTAAGACTGCAGCCACTGTAATTTTCTAACACTGTCAAAAAAAATGCAATGCATATGGCGACCAGGAGGTGTTCCGTGTACAGTACGCCCCAGAAATGTCCCTTCCTGCATCTGTGATTGGCTGACTGATTTTCCCAGAAGTCTGCACTGAGATAAAAATAAAATTGTAGGCATTGCATACAATAGGAATATCATTTTTGGAAAGATACTCCCTAAGGGTTAATGACTACTAAAGGGATGCAGACACTGCAACTTTCCTCATTACAACATAGAAATGTTCACCACCTTATTATAAAGATCTCAGACCCTACACTCAGGAATCAGTTTGGAAATTATATGAGGAAACACAATACTCTTACTTTAGGTCAGAAACAGGTAGGAATATGCAACAAAGTTTGTTAAAATCCTTGCACTGTACATTGATCACCCAGAAAGTGGAGTTAATCTCTAAATTACTAACTAGCATCAAAAACAGCCTCAAGGCTAACATTTTTTTGAAAGGGTGTTGCTCATGTCAGCAGATTAACTATATCTAAAGAATAAAATAGGAATGGTAAGAACCTCTATCAGTGCTTTTTGTTTTGTTTTTTTCCGGTGTCCATTAGGCAGATTTCCTTTCCTCTTCAGAAAACACAATAGGAAGTGTAAATCTCTCGAATGTGTCTGCAGTTGTCACTGGGACAAATGTCCCCAATATATTATTGGAAATGGGTCACTTTAGAACCTGCTGATCACTTCAGCACCTGCAGTTAAATGAAAGGGGACATATCGGTCAGGGGTGAGATGGGTTTCCTACATTTACTTCCCATATATAATTTACCCTCTATTCCTGTTCTGGTGACAACTTTAACATTTTGGATCTCTGCCACTTTCTGTTCTGGTGACAACAGTCACTAAGTCAAAAAGAAGGGTTAAGCTGTCCATACACAGATTGAATTTCAGCCAATTCCTGCTGAAATTGCTGGCATCTGGCACCCGAACAGGCACAAGTCGTTTTTTTCAGTTGACTTTTGTAAACAGAGATAGGTGATAAAATGGTCAGCCAAACAGTAACAATCAGCTTAATCTTAATTAGCAAAACATCCAAAAATCCTAATCTGTATGGGAAGGTTTAATCTTTCCAATGGGGAAACAACAATAAAAATCACAGGGTTTTTAACATTTTACACTTTATCCAAAACAAGATTTTTACTTTTAGTACCTTTACATATAATTCCAAAGATTTAAGTTCTTCACCTAGATTGGGTATACTGCACTAAAATAACATCATCAAATTCTTAGCAATTACATTATTCAATACTTGAAAGCCACAATCTTGTGTATAGATAGTAACCAATGGAATGCTCAATAAAAAAGTTAAAGTAATATTCAAAATCAGAAATGTTTTCAAGAGAAAAAAAATCTAGAAATTTGGAACTGTCAATGAAAATGTGAGCCAAATGGCAACTAGAACTGGAGTGAACGATCATATCGATTGCACAGGTAAGAAAATGAAAGGATTGGTTGCGATGGGTAAAACGTATTAGTTTCCATGCCAACATGTTCGAAATGAAGACTAGTCTAATCGCTATTACCACCTGGGGAACGTCTTCTGATGGCAGGTATTGGATATAAAGGAGGTCAAATCTGAACTCCAGGAAAGCAGCTAAATATACATATAATATTCAGTATAGGAAGTGTTAACATGCCAAATAATTTGTTATTCTAATTAGCCAGTTCAGAAATCCCTGCCAGGTTGCACATCCAGACCCTTAACATCCACAGGAAAGGTGGCCATACACCTTACAACCATCGCAAGACCTTAGTCTTGCGATGGTTGTAAAGTACTTCAAAAAATGTACGATATGCCCATCTTGGACAGGCAGATCGTACTCTCGATCATCGCAAGCCCGCCCCCCTGAGGGGCGGGCTTCCGATGACCGCAATGCTGAACGGGCAGTGTGCGCGTGCGCACACCGGCCCGTTCGGCATTTGTCTCCCGAGCATCGTTCAAACCAGCCAAAAATCGTACGATTTTCGGCTGGTTTTCTAGCGTGCTCCTTAGACAAAAGACGTGCAACCATACAGTAGAAACGGTCGCACGTCTTCGTTCACACTGCTCGATTCTCGTACGATCGCGGGATTTCCCGCGATTCTTGTTCCAGAATCGAGCAGTGTATGGTCACCTGAACAGAGGCAGCAACACACCTTGGCCAAGAGCGCACCCTACGTCTGGTAATTAGAGGAGCAGCAGCACTTTAAGCCATTATGCAAATTTCTCGTTCTCCATGTTCACTGTCAGCTCTTGTACACACAGCACAGCCTGATTGGCTTCTAGTGCTACCCCTCCCTCTCTCAGTCTGGGTGCTGCTGTACAGAGGGGTACAGAAGGCTGATTACAGAAGGCTGGATTTGATAAATGAATGCAAAACTGCATTATTATTTTTTTTGTTGGTTCAGTTTTAACTGTATGCAAAGAAAATTAGAGCAGCGAGTTTGCAACCACTGGCTTCAAACTGACTTTCTTTCTTCCTTTTCTCTCTTTTTTCTTTTCCTTCTCCTTTCTTTTCTTTCCTCAATTGGGTTATTATTTGGAGTGGTCTTGGATATCTGGGACAAGATTTTGACCAGTGTTGACAGGTATTTTTGCTCCACATCTGGCAGTACTGCTACGCATGCTCAGTTTGAGTAGACTGCTAAATAAAGTGTTGGTTGTGACTGCCATATTGGTTGCCACATGTTGGTTGTGGCTGCCAATAAAGTGTTGATGGCTGCCATATTAAATAAAAAAAGGTTGGTGAGAGGCCAAGCAGTCTTT